TCTTAACTTTATCCTGTTCCGCACAGTACTCTTTACCTGGCTGCACAACTTTCCATAAGCCTTCATCTGCTTTTGCACAACCTCCTCTATGTCGCTGTCAAACGCCTAACTCAGAGTTCCCGATTCTGGTTCCAATTGAGAGCACGATGAGTCATGCCACTCATCGGTCTTTGTGGCGTGTATCCGATCCATTTCTATGTCCTTTTGAATATTTATTAGGTTAATTGGTCGATAGCCGGAGTTCCATGTGGCTGATCCCTTCTGTCCGGCCATACTGATCTCCAGTATCGAACCAATGAAGGCAACTGTTCATAAAATTCTGAGGCCTGTTGGAAACGCCTTTTGTGACATGCCAAGTCGCTGAACCATATAGAAGCGCTGACTTCACATAAGTGTTGAAATTGCGAATCAGTAAATTTCCAGGCTGATTTCAGATTAGTAATCGCCTATGTTGGGTAGTATTTAGGCCTGAGTTTTCATAGTTAAATAAGTGTGAAATATCGAACGTAAAGCAGTGGTTGATTTGTGTATCTTTTTGCAGTAATGAAGCGCTTAAATGGCAGGCAACGAAACCAATAGGTATGGAAAACAGAGTATTAGGAAGCTTTCATTTCTAGAATAATAAGTAGTAGCATAATGGTCTTTTGTGGTTTCATGTTGGGCCTTATTCCCTGTATAACTCTTTAAATTGACCGACTTACGAAATATGTTTTAAATTAGCACTACTGGTGGGTAAAGCACAAGAAGCGGCATTGCTGTCGCATTATGAATCAAGTTTTTTAGAACTAGTACTACTTCTACTACCGGCATTACCCCACGAGTTATTTTGTTGTGGCTTTGTTGCGTCACGATAAAAGACTACTCAACCAAGTTTCATAATATTCAGCATATCTTACTATTATGGATATTATACTCATATCCAGGTGTTTGCATTTTTAGTCATAACCATTCCAGAACGCTACTCACCACTTAACAAATTTAGATTACGTAAGACTACTTAACCAATTTTCGAAATCTACCCAGTTTTTTATCATAGATCACTGAGCTCAACTCATTATTATTCTTCCAACATTTTTTCAACTATTTTTTATATTTTTGCATGGCTTTCTAGGCACATTGGGAAGCTGACAGAGGAGGAGAGGATGGTGGAGCAGAAAGTGAACCAGTAAAGAGATAGATAACGAAAGAAGTTGAGTACAAAATGCAGCGAAGTGGATAGAGGAATGAAGAAGGGTACTAAGAAGGACAAAAGACGATTTTACGACACACAAGAAACTGAAGTAGGATATACCAGAGGTAAGAGAGACCGCACAATACGTAAAATAACCAAGTCCGTCACTATCCGGGCTGTGACCAACCCTAATAAAGCCAGAAAATGCCAAAAAAGGTTGAATAGTGAAAACATTAGGCTGTCTGCTTCAAAGGACTTCTGAATCGCAGCCCACCACAACCCATCCACAGATACCACTCCCACACATAGACCTATTCGTGAACACCAACAGCCCGAAAAGGCGGAACTCTTGAAGGCCACTAAGTTACGGAAAATTGGGGAAGAATTGGGGCTAGATATTCTAGCCACTACTACGGATGGTGGGAATGGTACCTGTTGATTGTTTAACTGAAGGAGAAGAAGAAGGACAACATAAGCCTATGCAAGAAGTGGCGTGGCCTGATGCCCCTATCCATATCACCCTGGATAGAATAAAGGAATCTCTGGATGGGTGATTTAGACTGGGACATGCTGGGTTAAGGAAAGATACAACATGGCATAACATCATCGAACACAGTCTAGAATGAAAGTTAACTGTTTACCCAGAATTCATTGACTTTGTGTAGACCTTCGATAGGGTAGACAGTGAAGTAATCCGGGTACTGCTTCAAAACCACACGTTACAGTGTCATAAATATTCATAAAACCCGTTCTATAGTTATATGGTTCTAACACATGCCAAATAATTCGCAAAGGAAAGCTTCCTAAAATCTATGAGGTGAAGATGGGCGTTGAACAAGACTGTCTACTATTACCAATAATCTTCATGATTTCGATTGATTGGATCATAGGGTAGTTAGATGTATGTTGAACCAATGAACATTCACCAGAATATTTGGATTTTGGGGACGACTTATGCCTCGTCTCTTAAAAACGTGGAGATTAACAGAAAAAAACTAACAAGTTGATGGAAGAGGTGACGAAGATATGGCTTGAAGTGAAAGCAGAGAAGACAGTAGTGATGAAGATGTCTAACCAACAACAACAAACATCATATACCATAAGTGGGACAAATCTAAATGCGGTCAACCTTTTCATTTACCTGGCCTCAACTACAGATAAGACGACTGCAGATGCCAAAGCCAGAATAGGATGGAAAGGAAGCGTCAATGCAGGTGTTGATTACTTTTAAATCAAATCAGAGAGCTATAGGGCGAAGAATGAGATCCGAACTTTGAACACTAATGTCATTTGAGGGATTCTGTGCAGTTCAAAGACTTGGCGCTCTGACATCACCTTCAGCATTTCCATCAGGCTGCTGCAGACTTCTGCCAACACCTACCATCGCTTGTTGCTGAAGGTCAGATGCCTGGCGGGAAAGAATTACAGACAATGAACTCTAGCAGGTAGAGAATCAAGTATTATTCTCTTGTGCAACACTGACTAATAGAGAAATTAACTCACATAATGAATATAAATAAAAGCTGCAAAGTTTATAGAAGAGAGAAAGTTGATAGTTACAGGAAACCTTTTCTGTTAAAAGGCGTACATAATGCATTACTCAGGCATTATAAAAAGACTTTGGGAAAGGCTCAATCGGTTATAAGAGTAGAACTTGAATAAACTGTATATTAACAACTCAAGACAATGAGATATATTCAAAAATAATGTATGTTTTTTTAATGCTATCTATTGTAGAAGATAGTAATTGCGATATATGTATAAGAAAAATGTAGCTATCAAGAAATACTTAGACTTGCATACAACCAGTTAAGTGTGTGAAATTTCTGTCCGTGAAGATTTTCAACACATTTACACTGAAAATAATACGAACTATGAAATTCTGAAGTTCGTTAAAAGTTTATAATAACTGAAAGAATTTCTGAGAATAATCCATGGTTGGAATGTTTGACATTTGAAGACGAAATTGACTGTGACTTTTGAACTCTCTCTCTCTTAGGTTGGCTGGGCGGGGGGTATAGTTTTAATGATATTTTTAGCCTCCTGTCAATGGTCAATAAAGATTTACACGAAGAAATTAATACGTCTAAATTATAAAAGAAACATAAAACAAAGTATATTAACATTTAAACAAATCCCACCAGAAAGGTGCATAGTTCAATTAAGAATTAGTTAAACAAATTCACTAACGAAGATTAAATGACACAAGTTAAACCAACGTAAAGCAAAATACATAGATTTCACGTCTTATTCAGAATTACTATTGAGCTTTCTTTCACTCCAGTGGAAAACGTTTCAAAATTTCTTATAGTACAGCTACAAAACTCACTCAATTGAGAGACATTTTCTACGTAAAATGATTCAGCCTTCTTATATCTTTTGGTTAGAAGAAGGGAAGATGGAATCACATAGATACAAGTTCATTAGAAATCAAACCATACAAATCACATCCTTTATTAAAATATAGACATCGCAACAGCCCCAAAATAAATTTGCGAATCAGTATTATTTCTTTTCTATACAAAGGCCAAAACTAACAGAGAGGCGCTGCAAACAGAATGTGCTTCAGTATAAGTGCTACTGGGAAAGTTCAATTAAAATGCCCTATCCTACAATTGAACAGCCTATCTACAGACACTGGCTGACAGTCAAAAGCCGTTTTATGGAAGTAACTACTTCCATAACATTGTTCTAATCCGCTACTCTTCAGTGGTACGCACCCACAGAGGTTTAAACCCATGACCTTCCGATTAAAAGGCAAGCTTCTGGATCATTCATCTACTGGAAACTTTTCCGATGACCCATGAATTCCCACTCCTGTCAATTTATGATATGTATAGGGAGACCAAAAGCCAGTGTTATCAGCAAGTAACTGTTCTGTTAACTGAACTGGAGGACCCCGCTGGTTACTTCTCAGTAGAACTCCAGATAATCTCTAGTATAGAGCTAGTCATTACAGAACATCAGATTAATCATTAAATATTGATGTACAGAGATTAATTGACGAACTAACATCATTTAGAGAACCAGTGGCTGAATGATCTAAGAGCTTGCCTTGTGTCCGGAATGTCCTGGGTTCAAACCCTGGTGGGTGCGTACTGCGGGAAAATTCCAGGCTAGGACTAAAACAGCAGTCAAGTGCTCCCAGGTTTTCCAATGGTTCTCTAAATGATTTCAACTAGTGGTCAAAATTGTGACGAATCAAGACCTTGGGAACTAAAGCTTAAAGCCTCATCACCATATTATAAGTCTCAGTTAAATGTCCAGTGTTCAAAAAGTGAATACGATTTCCCAATAAAAAGATCAGAAATTAAGCAAGTTATTAAAGTAGGCCCATTTATTTCCAATAAAATTATTTATGTATAACAGAAATGATATACTTCTATTTATGTCTGTTAATATTAATTTTTGTCTAGTTTTTATTTTGTTTTGGTTCGTTACATTCATAAAAATAACAGTTACGCATCACTCAAAACTGCAACAGTAAACCTCTATTCCTTTGCCAATAGACAACTCTGTTAACAAGGTATTTACGCTCCAGAACTATTGTGAAACTAATTACAAAAAATTTCATTACCCTTATATGCTGAACTAGATGGGAGAGTTTTGAATCGTTATGTATGTACTCTTAATTATCTAATAAATATGCCTTATTACTATGAATCAGATTGTTAACCAATAATCATTCAACTACTTATAAAACAATAATTTGATTGGCTCATTAGATATTTCATTTAAGCTTTTCATTGGTTGATTAATTAGTCACTGAAAACTGAATGCAGATAATGTCATAGAAATTACTATCTCAAGATTTAAAAATATGTCGATATAAATACACTGTGTATGAGTGATACTGCAATAGATATAACATGTCATTTTGCACTTTACTCGTTATCATATCAGGTAACTTGATGATTACTGTTTAAAGCAAAACATGGGTCTGCCTATGGATCGATTTGTTAATCCAGTTGATGAAAATCTTATCTGTAGTATTTGTCATGGTGTATTTATCATTCCAGTAGTTACAGAATGCGGTCATACATTCTGTGCTAATTGTTTGAAAATATGGTTGAATTCAAAAACAGATCATTTAAATCATTTAACAGTTAGTGTTAATGATCGTGTCCGACTAAATTTCACCTGTCCTACATGTCGAACAAAACTTGGTATTAACAATAGCAGTCAACAGTATTCTACTGGTAGTACTTTCACGAATTCTACTCCTATGCCTGTTAACACAACAACAAGTAGTGTCAGCGGTTATTGTCTACAAGATAAACCAAATATTAACTTATTGTCAATCGCGAGACCAGTGCTTGCATTGAAAAGTTTTATAAATTCATTACAAATTTATTGTGAATATGCTAAACGTGGGTGTACTACAATTGGAAGTTTGGAGGCAATACATTTTGGCAATCATAAACATGTATGCGCTTATGCACCGGTTGATTGTGCTGGATGCGGTAGAACATTGAATCGAATTGAATTGGCGGCACATCAATTAGGCTGTTTTGGTATACAGGTAAGCATAAAATGTAAATTAATTAAATTCACTTGAAGTTTTCGGCATTTTTACAATTCATGTGACAAATTTTGATTGAAAACTATATCAGATCTAAGAAAACCCCATCGTTTTGCTGAAATATAAATGTTTTTGTTTAGAATCACTAAACTGCTGCCTGATGAGTAACTTATGCTGCTATTATACTTAGGGTGTTTGTAACAAGGTAGTTTGTAGTATATTCTAAATTTTGACACTTAAACCGCCATGTTTTCTTAGTAGCGGATGTCTTCTGTTCCACATATTACGAGTGTATTTTATAATTTTGAGGGTAACAGTTATCATAAGGTCCCCTTTTAACAATAGACAAACGCTCTGCGGCGCTGTCCTTTCGTATTCTATGAGTTTCTGTGTGTTGCTATAAACAGCTGTTTTACAGGAATAAGTAACCATTTTAAGTATTTGGTACCTGGCTTACTTGAACGATTCACCTTATTGTGTTGAATCTGCTTTGGTGTATTACCAGTTTGTTTGGTGTCGAAGATAGAAGGGCTATTCACGGTTTTAACTGCTCCTGACTGGTTAACAAATACTACTGGTCAGTGTGATAAAATTATAACTACACGTGTCATTTTGTAGTAAATATCAGCAAATTCTCTCGCCTGTAAGATAGAGAGCAGAGTTTACTTACTTCACTTTAAGTCATTATGGTAAATAAACTCATTTAAAAGTCGATTTTAGATATATATCCATTGATTTGAGGAAACTAGATGTGTCAAACTGTGTGAGTTAAAGTTTCTGACGTTTTCTGTTTAGTTGTTTCTTTGTATAGACTTACTTGGATGTAGTTACTTCTCTACTTTAATAAGTAACATAACTGTTATTTCCACTTTCACTTACCTATTAGCATTCTCTTACAAGTTTGGTCACTGACTGATATCAGTTAGAGAACTATTGGAAAACCTAGGAGTTCTAGACTGCCATTCCAAACTTGTTTGGGACTCCTCAGCAGTGCACATCAGCCGGGATTCAAACCCAGGACCTTCTGGGTATGAGGCAACCTAGTAGACCATTCAGCCACTGGGATCCAATTCACCGGGACGCAAAATTTCAACTTCTACTTATTCTCACTAGTGAGAATTCGTGACAATTGGGGGACATTAGGTGGAGTGTTGGGACAAGTACACACCGATAGCGTTGGCCGATGACTGAACTAAAATCACGAATTGGTTGAAGCTTGAATTCATGTACCACTGAGTCGCTTCTCAGTGGCTGTAACCGGAAGGTCCTGGTTTCGAACCCTTGTGGGTGTATACTGTGAAGAGTTTCAAATCAAGACGAAACAGCTGTTTAGTATTCTCTGGTTTTCAACGGCTCTATGACCGATATCAATCGGGATCAAACTCAAAAGAAATCAAGACTTTACAAATTAACAAATCCCTTAGAAAATCGTTACACTGTTTATTGCTGACAGAATTTGCAAAATCTGAGTTGTTTTTCTCTTACAAGACAATTCTGTATTGGAATCAAATTCTCAGTTGACAAATAGCACAGTTTGAATTTTAACTAGGATTTCGTTTGGAATTTGAAATTGTTCACATCACTAATAGCTGTAGTCTGCCTGATACCACCCACCTATGGTAATCAAGAAAGCCAGAATGAATGCCTGATAATATATACGCTAGTGATTTCTGTGACTAGCGTATGCTTACCGAATCTATGTGATCTAATTACCTGACGGCTGTTTCACTCGTTTAGGGGCTGAGGTTATCAGCGGTATATTCAGTATTGACTCACCTTAGATTGCTGAGTAGAGCTGGTTAGCAAGCTCTACTAGTTGATATTTGGCGGTCGGGAAACCACTCATTGATATCAGTTAATCATTAATTAATCTATACTGTTGTGATTTCATGTTCTTACGTGAATGAACTAGTAAAGAGATTCTACAAACTCTGATTTATCATCATTCTGATAAAGCTATTATCATTAAATAACTAAGTGTTGGTAGTAAAAAAAATCGTTTTGTTTTTCATTAACTAAATGAGATAAAAACTTTTTTTAAATAAAGATAACAGACAGTATATGCAGATTGTTAGATTTGATAAATGTGTGCGAATTATTTGAACAAAAAACAAACAGCACGTGTTTTAGTAATGAAAAATGCTTAGCATAATTTAATTTGATAATATTAGTTTGTGAAAGGATAGATGTTGGAATGAAACATTATCGTTTTGAATTAATGTATAATGTCACACAAACTCGAAGACTTGCAAGCGGAAACCAACAAACTGGCTGAAGAAGCTGGCAGTGAAAACAGGACAATACGTGAACACGGAGAAGATGGAGACCAGCAAAAACAACAAACAGCAGCAATCATCATCAGCGGGAAGCACAGGCTGGCGGAACGAATGAAGATGTCAAAGCCAGCCAGCTTGATTCGGATAAGCAAGATACGCCTTCATCAAACTGAAACCGGTTTGGAAATCTTCTGCCTCACTCAACCAACATAAACAACAAGATTCCGATTTCCAAGAGCAATGTGAAGCCAGTCTGACAGTCAGTCTTTCTACACAGGTCAGAAACTTGCACTGCGTGTTACGAAGGGGATTTTCAACAATTTACAGACTTTCATCAACAGCTGCCACTTTCGCTGGCTTCAAATTGAAGATCAAATGACCATAAAGAATAAGTAACAAGAAACTCTAGCTGGAAACAAACCAACAGGCTCTACAGATTTGTACGAGGGAATGGGGAGGGATCGGACATACGCTAAGGAGGCCGTCACATGACATCGCGAGATGCAGACGATTGATCGAGTGGAATCCAAATGGAGTGCGACGAGTTGTTTGTCAGTGTAAGGGTGAGATGAGATGAGAGATTATGGTCAATCGTGGACCCAGCTGAAGAGGATGGCAGAAAGTAGAAGAAAGTGGAGATGTGTTGTTGAAGTCTTATGTTCCACTCGGAACCCAAGGGAACAATAATAATAATAATTTTGAATTAAATTGTTAGAATGTAGTAACGGAACTTGAGTCACTTGCTTTCTAGGGTGTATCAGGTTCACGCTGATATGGTTTATCTTATAAATTGTTGCTATACCCAAAGCAAACCTATTTATCATCAACCTTTCATAACCTTGGCCCGACTTTTCAAATAATCTTGGAAAATGAAACAGAAGTTGTATGGCTACAGTTACTCATAAGTTAAGCACTGACAAGTACTATAGGGAATGTCTGGCAATGGACATAGCTAATAACTGTCTCTATGCAACTAGCTGGATAACAGAGATATTATTTCCTCAACATAAATAAATCAGGGAATGATCGATATAGGTGATTCGTAGGGCATCATTCGAAGCAATTTTATATTATTCGCCTCAAAAGAAATTCATTGGAAATCTTCCCCATTCCTATATAAATATAATTTTACAGCTTTGAAAAGGAAATAGCATGGTAGGTTTCAAGTATTCATTCAATAAATATAATATGAGTGCGAAAAATAAGCAAGCTATTGGAGAATAGGATTAGCATTCATAAAAAGAAACAGGTTTTAACAATATTGCTATCATTCTCTATTATTATACTGTGTCTGGCTATCATTTATTGAAGCTAAAAGGATCTCTAGTTTTGATTTTGTACTAAAATAAGATCATACTCTCTCAATAAAATTGTTATAACTCTTAGGTTTTCATCACTAACCAACATCATTTGGAGAGATCATTGAAATCAGGGAGCACTCGTCAGCTGTCTCGTCCTCGTTTGGGATTCCTCATCAGTGAATAACCACGACCCAACCAGGGGTCGAGTCCTGGACCTTCGGGTTACGAGACCAAGGTAGTTGACCATTCATTCACTTGGGCAGGAATTCAGTGACCGCTGAACTTTAATTCTGTCAACTAATGATCTAGAGCTTCCTTCACCAATGCCTTTGATAGGTATCCATTTCCCCTTGAGACAGTAGACACCGCCGGTCACGTATTTCTCCTTTTGTTAGACTTTGCTTCAGACTCATACTTCTCTACTGTACTTTTTATACAGAATAAAATCGGTGAGACTCGGTTCTTCATAATTTTTTATTGATAAAACTTAAATGCTTGCGCTAACTGGTTACTAAGGCCATAAAATATATGTTGTAGGTCTCAGGTGGATTAAACTGAACGTCAAAGTCTCAAGTAATTTGAAGAACTTCAATTTTTATCTGGTGGGATAAAACAGTTCTTCATATGATATATCATATAGTGAAATTACTCAAGAAGTGTAACAGTTATAAATATTCAACACTATCCATTACCTTCGGAGTGCCTAAGTTTGTCGATTCCAATTTTTTGAAATAAGGTACATGGAATACTTTTTCTAAAATTGTGTCTTCATGCTGGCTGAAATTAGACTGCCTATAGGCGCTGTTTTAAGTATCCACCTCCAACAGTATTTCCATATGATCAGTTAATACCCTCTTTGAATGATCACTCAGCTTCAAATACTATTTTCCAGAGTTTTTCGCATTGTTTTTGTGGTAGTTTTCAGTGTTGCTTCAGGGAAAAATTGAATAAAATACCTTTTTTGATAACTTTTTACATGTGAATTCCTTTGAATTAAGTAATTAATAACACAAGTGAGCTAAGAGGTGTCTTTTTGTAAATTCACTTCAAATTGTACAGTTGTTCATGGGTTCACTATGCACAATATGCACAATTCCATTCTGTATTATAAGTACTGTTTTTGGAATAAAGTAAATTATTATTATTAAAAAAAAATAACAAAGTTCAGAGGTTATTTTCGCTTAGTAACAAAATAAATCAAAGTGTTTGAGAAATAAAAGTGTTTAACAAGTAGTGAGTAATCCCACATGATCGAGAGGGTTGTTAAGTACTTAGTTAAGTGATGACTAATCACTTATTATTATTATTGTTCCTTTGGGTTCCGAGGGGAACATAAAACTTCAACAACACATCTCCACTTTCTTCTATTTTCTGCCATCCTCTTCATCTGGGTCCACGATTGACCATAATCTCTCATCTTCTC